TCCTGTCACTGCTGTCAGGCTCCTCACAACACCACGGACCTGCTCTTCAGGAGTTTGTAGAGTAGTGGGACAGCTCCAAACTTGAACTGAATGTGAGCAAAACCAAAGACATGGTGGTGACCTTCTGCAGGAGGCCGAGGGATCCGGCTGCTTCAGTAACCACCATTATCCACGGGAACCCAGTGGAGGTAGTGGAGGAGTACAAGTATCTGGGAACCACCTTTGACAACCTCCTGAAATTCTCTGCTAACACAGAGGAGATTCTCAGGAAGTGCCACCAACGGCTATATCTCCTTAGGAAGCGCAACTCCTTTGGAGTCAGCTCCTCAGTCATGATGACTTTTTACTGTGCCTTCCTGGAAAGCATCATGACCTTCTCCATCACTTGCTGGTTCTACTCCCTTAGCCTCCAGAACAGGAACAGACTGCAGCGCACTGCATCAATGTGCTCCAACATCGTTGGCCTGCCTGTCAGAACTCTTGCTCAGGTTTTCTATCAACAAGCGCTGAGACAGGCAGCCAAAATCCTCCACTACCCCTCTCACGTTCTTCAGCCCGCATTTCCCTGGCTCCCCTCTGGGCGACGCCTCCGCTGCACTTCCTGTGAGACTGAGAGGAGGAGAGCCACCTTTGTCCCCAAAGCCATTCAGCTCTTTAACTCCAGCAGGTAAGATAAGACCATCCCTCTCCTTGGGCTCTCCATATATTTAACTTTATTCACTTACGCAGTGATTTTTGCATACTTTACCGATTTTATCCATCTTCTTGCTGCTTTATTACTTTTCTTATTGCCTATTTATTCAATGTTCGTATGTCCAACGTCAGGCTACTCTGCTGTTATTTTTTTAATTGCCTCTCGGGGATAAATAGAGTCTTTCTGATTCTGATGTTTGGTAATTCAGGCTTTCGGTTTGAGTTCCAGTGAGTTCTCACACGCAAAGTTGGGTTTCATCCATCATTGAATGCCTTTTTCTCTCAAAACTGATTGATCAAGCAAATAAATTCCACAGTTTGGGCTTTTCACACTCAGTTAGGCCTGTTGCCATGGTGATCCAGCCACACTCAAACAGATCCTCAGCAAACGTTCAACCTAACATAGGCAGCTAAGCAGCAAAATAGGCAGAAAACACAACCAATACACATGAAGCAAAGGTTACCGACACCAATGAAGAAATAGTATTTTTATTATCCGTCCATTTCCATCAGCTTACATGGGGTCGAGTCACGGGGACAGTAGCCAAAGCAGGGAGGTCCAGACTTCCTTCTCCCTCCCGCGTCTCCTGGGTCTCCCTTTAGGTCTCCTCCTGGTTGGACCAATCCAGAAACCTCACCAAGGAGGCATCCAGGAGGCACCCTGACCAGATACCTTAGCCACATAAAACTGGCTCATCTCCTTGTGGAGGAGCAGCAGATCTACTCTTACTCCCTCCCGGGTGACAGAGCTTCTTACTGGAGATGCATCACCAATCCGCCTATCAGTCCCTCTGTCCCGCACTTGTGAACAAGACCCCGAGTTAGGTAAACTCCTCCACCTGAGGCAGGACCTCATCCCTGACCCCTTCTAACTCAAGCCGCTGCTTCAACATCTCACCACTGCCTCTTTTCAGGAATTAGAAACTGGATTTTAATCTTATCAACCAGAATTTAATCTATGAATAATGTGGTATTATTAAATGGTAACCAGGCTGGTTTAGGCTTCTCTGTGATGCTAACCCACAGGATGCAACGACAAGCATAGAGACGCCGACAAGAACAAGAACAGCATAAACTGCTGCTGAGGAGATTCTTGAATCCCCACAAGTCTTCATTATTTTCCCCGATGCTATTACCTCCACATAATTATTTTGCCTCTTCAAACAATCGCTTTGCTATCCAAGCAAATTCCACGGATTACTTCAGAAGGACCCAAAACTGCACGTCCTGTTCCGAAGTGGAACTCAGACAATGCTCATGAATACGCATGAAGGAAGTGTTGTTTGTTTACTACATCAAAACATGACACATCAGAATTAGTTCATCCTCCCTTATGTTGTGTTTAATTTGGAGCCAAACTAGATAAAGCGTATCAGATCCATCTATTCACCCTCTCACCCGATCATTTTGGGAGTGAACCGAAAGCAGCATTAACTCCCTATCCTTCGTCCCTCCTTGTCTTTTCATCTGCCTGCTCCTCTCCCAAAGTCCCTCTTCACATCCTCCTCCCTTTTCTCCCCACCTCCCTGCCCTGCCTCAACTCAGCCTCCCCTGACTGCTGCAGCCTTAACACACACACACACACACACACACACACACACACACACACACACACACACACACACACACACACACACACACACACACACACACACACACACACACACACACACACACACACACACACACACACACTCCTACACATCTGTTCCCCCTGCTTATCTTCTCCCCCGGAGTGAAGGATCAGAGTGGTGAGGGTCTAGCCAGGAGAGTAATAGAGATTTGAACCTTTGGGGGTTTCTGCGCCCCCCCCCCCCCCCACCCCCCCACCCCCCCACACCCCCACCCCCACCCCGGGCGTCATGGGCCGGTGTCTTGGCTGCTGCCGTGGATCTGTTGCTGTCAGGGCAGATGGCTCCGCTGATGATGTGTCGTCCATTACCTGACCCATCTGAACTCAGCCTATTGTTTCCTCTGTTCTTCACGTGTGTGTGTGTGTGTGTGTGTGTGTGTGTGTGTGTGTGTGTGTGTGTGTGTGTGTGTGTGGGGGGGGGGGGGGGGGGGGGGGGGAGGGGGGCTGGGATGGGAATATGGGATCTATGGGGCCATTTTAACCTGTGAAGCACCTTGAGTTGCATTTTTTTTGTATGAAAAGTGCTATATAAATAAAGTTGATTTGATTTGAAGCTGTGAGCCTGGCAGGGTGCGATCTGCACTGTCACGCCAAGGAGAGAGAGGAGATAACGTGCACCTCCATCAAATGCCGCTGCCCGGAGCCTACATGCATGCTTCTACTTGGACAACATGGAGACACGAACAACTGAAGACAGTCACAAACCTTTATGTTTCCTTCAGGTAACTCAAATCAGCACCGGAGCTAATCGTCTGGGCCGTAAACGACAGCAGGAGTAATGCTAAAGGAAGGTGCTGATCTGTTTAAAATGGCTGCTCTCTGATGGGATGAGTGTGGGGTAGCAACATGACCTTTTCTACTTTGAGAGAAAAGCACGGCTTCATGTGGGAATGATATAATCCAGTTGGATTTGGTTGTTGTTGCTTTTTAACGCCTGCTTTTATTAACCATACAAGCTAATCCATCCATCCGCCCGGCTTCACCCGCTTACCCGAGTCCAGGTTGCACGGGCAGCAGCTCCAGCTGAGAGGCCTAAACCATCCTCTCCCACGGTGGGATCCTAAGGCATTCCCTGGCCAACGCATGACCTGAGTCAACCCAGAGAGCCTCCTATCAGCAGAACATGACTGGAAAACCTCTCCTGGGAGGCGCCGAGGAGGCATCCTGACCAAATCCCCAAACCACCTCAGCTGGCTGCCCTCGGTGTGGAGGAGCAGCTGCTCTACTCTGAGTCTCTCCTAGATGTCCATGCTCCTCACCCTATCTCTAAAGCTGAGCCCGGCCACCCAATGGAGAAAACAAATGTTGGCCGCTTGTATTCCCAACCGTTTTTATTTATTTTTTGGTCATTACGTAAATCTCATGACCACAGACGAGGACAGGAACAAAGATCAATCGGTAAATTGGCAGCTTTTGATTTCTAATCAGTATAAACGGAGTCGGAAGTGACGTCAGCGCCAGCTCTGAGGAAGTTTGCAGCTGCGAACGAAACTGTCAGCAAGGTAAAAAGAAAGCTTTTGTGTGTTTTTAATAAGAACCAGTTAGCTTTGATTCCTGGCTCAGCTCCCTCTTGACCCCAACAGAGTCACGGGTTTTAGAGTCGATCCTTGATGCAGTAACACCTCCACCTTGAGCTCCTCTGTCACTCCTGCAGCACACCTCACTGATGTCTCGCTCACACGTGATCTGCACCACTCTTACACACTTCTCCAGACCTCCTCATGCACCACAGCTCCTTCTTCTTCTAAATCTACAAAGACGCACATCCTTCTGACCTTCTCTGCACTGCTCCAGCATCCTTAAAGCAAACGTAGCATCTATGGTACACTTTCTTAGCATGAAACCATTCTGCTGCTCACAAATGTTCACTTCTGATCAGGCACGTGCAGAGGGGGGTGCGGAGGGTGCTTGAGACCCTGCCCCTTTTGTCCGAAGTGCCCAAAGTGCCCTTTTTCCGGTCGTTCGTCAGATTTTACCGTACAAATCTGTTATACTGTGATACAAATTGGGCACTAGGACCATGCGGAGGCAGCCGTCTCAAGCTGAAGGCTATTTTCCCTTAGACCCGCCTACAAACTCACTGATTGGCTCTGCCGCATCATACTAACGTGTGATTGGTTATCCTTGCTGTCGCTCTACCTGTGGTTGTAACACCTCTAGATACAAGTCAGCTTTAAAAACTAAAACTATTATTTATGAACTAACATTAACACTAATGACACTAATTTATATATTTTTATTATGTTGTTTGAGCCCAAGGGTCTCATTTTCTGAATTTTCTAACTTATTGGATTGCTCTATAAGTGCCCCTTTTTTTACTTTGAGCACCCGCCCCGTCAAAGGTCTCTGCACGGCCCTGCTTCTGATGTAAGCCTAGCTTCCACCACTCTTTCCCAGAGCTTCTTTGTAAAACTCACAGTGGTTATGGAAACAAATCACATTTTAATCACACGAAGCGCAATTTAGCAAAAAATAATCTTTTAAACTTTGCTGATTGGTGATTTTTGCTATTTTTAGAACAGGCCTGGGGCATCTTATAGGGTTCCTGGGGGCACTAGATTGTTGACCCCTGCTATGAACCCTTGATGAATCCATGATGCACCTGGACCATTTCCCAACATAGCAGAGTGAACAAACAGTGGTCATTATGGAAACCCTGGTTGGTATAACTCACCACAGTCTGGTGGTTGACTTGGATCACCTCATCCCCAGCGTGGATCTTCTTACACTGATCTGCTGGAGACTGCAGAAGTGGGAGAAAAAGGTCAAGAACGGATGACGATGAAATAAAATGAAGAAACAGAGACAAACATGAAACAATGAATTCAATTTTGCTTCCTGGTGCCTCTCTTTTTTTTTTTTTTTTACACAGAGTGAAACAAAAACGTACGTTCTCCGTGGTTCCGGTGATCACATGGAGTCCATCATATGTTGATTTGATATACATCCCCTGAAACACAAACACAGTATTTGTATCTGAAGTTTGTCCAACAGAACTAACAACAGCACAAACCAAACGCTACAAAGGACACCTAGGAGATTTGTTGGTTATACGTAGGGATCCAAGTGAGACTTACTGAACAGCGAGCGCATAGAGGTGTGTTTAAAGTCATCAGGAAAATAACCCAGACAATCATTCATACGTTTGAAGAAACCATGCACGTTTGAGTCTGGAGAATATTCCTCTATTCAATCTTGTGGGAAAGTAAAGCAAAGTAAAAGTCACTCACGGTGATGGAACGTGGCCCCCAAAGCATCAGAGGAACATGCTTTTCCACATTTTTACAGTATTGTTTCTTTTCCAGTTTGAACATGAAGATTTCAGAGTTTGGCTTTGTTGTTTCTGGGTTTAATGAGTGTTCTCCTCACCAGTCCTTCACTGGGCATGATGCTGGTGAGATGGACCACCTCCAGATGGGCTGACTGAGAGACTAGCGAGTCTGACGACAGAGAGATGATGTGGTCGCAGATCCCCGCTAACGTCTTACACTGGAGACAAAGTGGGACATAAACAGAGATGGTCAAAGAATAAAGAAGCAAAAAGAGAACCAGACACCAAAAAGAGACAGGCAGAAAGTTATTGAGATTGGTTTTGGCCCGTGGGGGATGATGTGACCTAGCTGGAGGAGGTGAAACAGACATCGTTTTTATCAGATGGTTCCACATCACCACTTCCATCACTCCATCACACCAACTGTTTCCTGTCCCAGTCTGTCCGCAGGAATGCCCACAAGGCACCTTCACAGACGCGTCACTAGTACCAGTCAGCTCGAGGTGCCCAGACATCTCCTAACGGCTCAGTGACAGAACTCTGCTTTTATTTTTTTATTTTTTTATCATCAGCCGCATTTGTAAAGGAAAATATTTCTAAATTCTGATTTTAACTTTCAGGGTTCTTTGCGATTGGGCTGTGTTCTCACATCAAACGACAAGAAGTTACTAGCAGCCCCTCGTTTGGTGGAGCGGGTCCTTCCACTCAGTTGCACCTCAGCTTTGGAATGAACCCCTTTGTTTTTAACGTGTATCAAAAGTAATAAACATTTAACATATAGAAGAAGGCTCTGGATTGGAGTGACATCACAGCACTTCCTGCTTCTTCAAACGGCCACGCCCATTTTTGGGTAGATTTGTGTGGGTAATGGGAAACGTTAGCATTTTAGTGCCCAAAATATTCTGTGTTGTTTCTGTGGAGTGAAAATTAAAGGGGCCATATCATGAAAAATAATATATGGGACATTGTTGCTTCTTCATGAAAAATAACCCCAGACCAGTTTTTGGCTGCATTCATGCATTTTCCTCTTTCAGCTGCAAATTGTGAATTTTATTTTGACCATCCTGAAAAGCCCGAATGTAGAAGTTGTACGTAATACCGCCTTCCTCCTCCCGACACCAGGCACTGCTCCTCCCCTAAATCTGGCAGGGGCGTGTCCAGGCAGTGGCCTGGGGTGGCACATGCCACCCTTGGAATCTGATTGGCAACCCCAGGTGCCAACACAATAATTTACCTTTGAATAGGTTTTTCATTGTCCACAAAAGGCTTGGGGGTAAAACAAAAAAAAGCATAACCATTGGTGCCACCCATGCACAAAGCTGTGCCTCACCTGGACCACCCCATTTTAAAAGATCTGGACACGCCACTGAAGTTAGAAGCATTTGTCTTTTTTTTTTCTTTGTAGTTCTAACTTTAATGTCGGACTTTGTTTTCTCAGAATTCGGACGTTCACAGCCGCTCCTTAAAACAAAACGTTGGTCTGGGTTCTGAAACCCACCTCCAAAGGCTTAGGTGACTGCTGTCATGTAAAACAGCAAGTAGCCTAGTTTGGTTAAACTGCTGGGCTGGCAAGCAGGTTCACGTCCCGTCACAGCAGTAACTCTTTTCTTCGTTTTAGCTACACTTGCTGGTATGAAGTTTTCTACCCTTTATATGTAAACTAATATGTGTTTTTTAAACTTTCTTTGTTTATTTAACCAGTGTGAGTCCGTGTGAGGTGAGCAGAGTAAATCAGCTAAAATGCTGCTTGGAAATGACCAAATTCACGATGTTTAAAGACACAAAATATTCTAATATATCAATAAAACTAAAATAGAAAAACATGAAATCCATTTCAGCTGGCTGAATAAATTACTGTCAACACCAGATGTCTTAATCTCTGGACTACCATAGCCAACACAGCCACAAACTCATCTAAGGTACGCTATAGGCACTTTTTGTCGGAGCGGGTGTGGGCGGAGTTTCGCTGAAACAAACCGTTCTGTTTCCGGGTATAAATTCAAGCTGATGAAAATAACTTGTATTTAAGACAAATGACACCTCAGCAGTGCCAATGGTAATGTTTTATCATGTACCGTGCCTAACTTAAGCTTTCAAAGGTCTAATATAGCATGATATGGAACCTTTGATGAACAAAAAGACAACGTTTTGTTTTGAGGAGCGGCTGTGAACGTCCGAATTCTGAGAAAACAAAGTCCGACATTAAAGTTAGAACTACTAAGAAAAAAAAGAAAAATGCTTCTAACTTCAATCTTAGAATTCTGACTTTTTAATCAGAAGTCAAAACTCAGAATTACTTCTTGTTTCTTTGTTTCTTTTCAGTGGCCCTAGTCCTCTTCCATAGAGGAAGAGTCAGCGCAGCTGCAAAGAGGTATCGAACAGTTTTTTTCAGTTAGCCATCACTATCAAAAAATAAGATGCTTAGTAGCATTTATTTTAGGGCCGGGACTTTAACGCATTAATTATGATTAATTAATTAGAAAAAATGATGCGTTAAAATAAATTCACGCATTTAATCACAGCTTGCATTTCGAGCACGGCGGCACCTTTGTCATTGCACGACTTCCTCGTAGACCGAGTATCACTGACGCACACAGCAATGCACAGTGCTAATGGCTGCTAAAACAGAATAAAAACAGAAAGAAGTCGTCTTGCTTGTTCTGATGCAGGATTTAGAAAACAGCTTCCCTAACTGCTCCTCCCTCCCAGTCTATATGAGCCATGTCTTGTCTCAGTGTCGTTGGCGGTCCATGGTGATGTTATTCTGTCAGTCTCGTCTCGTTTCTTGGATTACTAG